AGACTCGGTGAGACTAGTGACTGTTACTGCTCCGGGGTTCCCCATCCTTGAGCAGCCTCGCCTTGATCTCTAAGGGCTGTTGAAGATCAGGGTGCAGACTCTACCCCCGGGGCAGGGCGGGGGCTGAGCTTCTGTCTGGCACCCAGCACTGTGCTGTGCTGAGCCTGGGACCCGGCGTCGACCCTGGAGGGCGACCAGGCGACCAGGCGTGAGGGAGTGGGTTTGGAGAGAGCCTCTCACCTGCCCGTCCTTGGAAGGCATTTTGCCTTTGGCCTCATTCCACCTTGGCAAGAGTAACAAAGCAGGTCGCTTCTTGATGGAACGTGATAGGCTCAACCATCAGTGTGAACTACGGGTTAGCAAAAGAAGATGGTAAACAGACACGTCCCATTTCTTCAGGGACATGACATTCTGGAGTGAAGGGTTCTGTTGCTACATGCTGGGAACTTAGAGGATGGTTTCAGGCTTGTTGGAGATGTTTGCCATCTTTCTTGGTGTATTTTAATCTTCTGAGGATGTGGGTGGCCATCGGACCTGCGTTGCCGATCCCCTCCCGGTGCAGGGCTCAGCTACCTCCTCCAGCCCCAGGCACGAGGGCTCTGCCGTGTCCCTCCTGGCGCTGAACTGGCAGCTGCCCTTCCAGCCTCCCTGGGCGGTGGGGATGGGATCATGGGCTCCGGAACCACAGGGCCCAAGGTGGAGGCTCGGCTCCAACGTGAGCTACTACTCTCGGGTGGTTCAGAGCAACGGCATTGAGTGGTGTCACAATTCTGGTGGCTGGAAGTTGCAGGTCAAGGTGTCCACAGGCTCAGGCTCCCTCTGGTGACTCCAGGAGAGCCTCCGTCTTTGCCGCTCTGGCTCCTGGTGTCGCCAGCCGTCCTTGGCAACCCTCAGCTTGTAGGTGTGTCATTGAACTCACACAGCTGTCTCCTACTGGTGTGTCTTCACATTGTCACCCCTCTTGTGTGTCCATCTCTGTGTCCAAATTTCTCCTTTTTATAAGGACGCCAATCATATTGGATTAGGGCCCACCCTAAGGACCTCGTTTTAACTTGGTTGCCTTGGTAAAGATGCAGTTTTCGGCTCAGGTCACATTCTGAGGTGTTGGCGGAGGGAGTTGGGACTCCAACATGTCTTTTTGGAAAAAGAGAATTCGACCCCTAACCTGCGCTCTTTTGACAAGTTACTTGACGTCTGCATACCTCAGTTTCTTTATCTGCAGAACAGGACGGCTAAGACATCATAATACTTACCTCATAGGACTGTTGGGATGATTAAGTAAGTGAATGTGTAAATAAAGTGCTTGGAATAGAGTCAGACGCTTAGTACGTGCTCTGGGAGAGAGAGTGGGTCTGATCATGACCCCTCTTCACACTCGCAGAGATGCAGGTGGTGTAGATGCTTACCAAGGGTGTGTTAAGTTGTATTAGGAACCGAAGTCGGTCTGGACCTAGAGATGGCTCCGGGGGAGGCCGGCGGGGAGACCAGCATCACCCTGTGTGGCTGATTGCACCCGGAGAGCACAGAGCCTGGTCTGGAAAATGACTTCCTCCTTCTGCTTTTTCAAAGAATTGTTGTCTAAGCTGGCGAGGCTTGGATACTCATCGGGGAGCAGGGGAGGGCTTCAGCCCTTAGTCTTTAACCGGGTGAAATCCCACCACCAGGGCTTCCTCATCTACAAAGGGAGGGGGTGCCCTGGGGGACCCCGAGCGTCTTCCCACTCCAACAACCTGTGGGTCCATGGATACCCAAGAACAAGGGCAAAACCCACGGTGTTCTGACCAAACAAGCCCCAATGCACAGTTTGCTTGGTTCTACTAGAATTTGGCCCAAGGTGGCCCCAAAGATTGGGCAGCTCCTCGGGCCTTGTTAGAATGGTCCAGCTGCCTCCTGTCTTTCAGGGTCTGGAGGAGACAGAACTTGGGACTGTGGAGCCCCTGGGGTTCTAAGATTCCCAGAGGATGAATAGCGGATTGATTGAATCCTACAGCACCCGGCGGATTCCTCTCCCCCCTCACCCGGGGCTGTCATAAAGTCCGGAGGTGGAATTCCTCTGCACCCCTTCCTGGGCTGACTCCTCTGGGTATAGGCCCAGGAGGGTAGGTCAGGGGGGCATGTCTGCCCGTGTGTGACTCTAACACTGTCTTCTTAGTCACTGGGAGAGTGGTCAGGACGCCTGTGGGTCATCTTCCTCTTGAGCCGTTGGTGGGGTGAGGGGTGCTTCCTTGGAGTATTTGGGAAGGGGGTCTTGCTTCTCCATTCAGACGCTGGAAAGAAAGGCATGAACCCGTGATTCAGGTAGGAGACCATTTACTGCCCTATTTGATTCTCAGTCATTGTTTTGAGAAAGACATGAGCTTGAAGTTGTGGGAGAAGGCAGGTATTTAACGCCGTGGCAAGTCTGTCAAGTCCACTCCGGAAGTGGACCCAGGCTAACAGAGTGTTCTGAATAGAGAAATAATTACGACTTGTTATCAATGCATCATCACTTTATGGTACATGACTAGTTTTCCTAAGTTAGTAACATGTATTTGCTGTAATTTTGTTTGTTTTTTACTTAGCAAGCCTTTTGGATACAGATGGGATCAGAACAAACGTCACCCTAGTCCTGTTTCAGTTGCCAGCACTACTGACGCCCCTACTTTTACTGCCTTAATGTAGCTGGATCAAGCCCGAGACATCGCAAGGTGAGGTGCCGCAGACTCTGTGGGCGGGGACTGAATCCAGCAAGAATTGACCTTTGACCCTACCTCGTGGAGGGAATTCCCCTGTGCGGAGGACCTTAGCATCGGTTACTGGTTCCTCAGCATCTCGCTTGTTGTAAATTGACACTCCTTTGTTTACTCCTTCATTTTTGTCATTTTCCTCCACTAGAATGTGAGTTCTTGGGGCAGGTTTTCAAAAATATATTAGAGACATGAATATGAATGAATGGGCTGCCGACCCAGACCTTGGTCTTTTCTGAGCTTGGTTGCTGTGAACTGAAGTCAGCTTCTTCCCCTGGTTGACCTGAGTAGATGCTGGCCATTAGATCTGGAAGGTCAGTTGTCTGCGAGGCCCCTTTGATGAAGCCTGGCAAACCCAGGCCTCACCTGTGTCTTCCTTAGGGCCTGTCCTCTGTGAGTGAGCCTTGGAATTTTCTTACTTGTTTGTGTTTTCTCCCTGCGGCAGCCAAAGTCAGGGCCCTGGAGGAGGTGAGCGGCCCGAGGCCTCAGGCAGCAGCTCTCAGTGCTGGCAGCCGGCCCAGAGACCACAGGGGAACTTGAGAGTATCGCCTGAGCCAGCCCCATGGCTCCCACCTGCACTCCCCGGGTCTCATTGGTGAGAGAGTGGCCTGGCGTGGGTATTTGTCAGACGTCTCTCGTGGGCACTCAGAGGTGAGAGCCACTGGAATAGCCCTTCCCACATTTTGTCCACATCAGAATCATCTGGGGGTGGGGGGCTCGTCAGACCCGAGTTGTTTGCTTCCTCCTCTAGTTTCTGACTCAGTGCTCTGAGTTGGGAGCTTAGAATCTCTGTTTCTTCTTTTGGGGGGCAGATTGCCACGTGGCTTGCGGGATCTTAGTTCCCTGACCAGGGATCGAACCCGTGCCCCCTGCGCTGGAAGCTCGGAGTCCTAACCACTGGACCGCCAGGGAAGTCCCAGAATCTGCATTTCTAACGAGCTGCCAGGAAGCGCTGCTTTTGTCCGGGCCGCACTTTGAGAACTGCTGCCCCAGGGCTCCGTCACAGCCACCCTGATTCTCGCTGACCCAGGGCTTTCTGCTTCCTGCCCCTGCTGCCCCGCCTCCCCCCTTTCTCCAGCTGGGGGGCTCTTGCTTTGCCTTCTTTACTGGTCTGCCCTTTGCTGAGCTCTGGGTTCGCCCCGACAGGATGTAGAAAAAATTGTTTTTATCCACTTTTGTCAAGCCAAAGGAGATGGGAATGCTTCTAAAGGCGTTCTAAGTGGGGGGGAAATGGACTCCCCAGATGGGGAACTGTACGCATGGAAGTGGACGCAGTTGAGGGAGGCTGGGGCGTGGGCTCCGGGCTGGTTGGCTTGTGTTTGAGAGGCACACTTACGGGTGAGTCGTTTGGTATCTCTAGGAACGGGCTAGTCCTTGGAGGGGTCAGCGAGGCCCCAGATGTCAAAGCTAGAACACAGACGTGCTTAATAAAAGACTTGGTTAATCCAGGGCGGTTTGCGGAGTAAAGGGGAGGTCTTGGCTCTGAACTTCAGATCCGTTTTAAAGTGTCTTTCCTAAGAGCACTGTCCAGTCCATAAACTATGGATTGGTGTGTCACTGCCCCTTGTCCTCCAGATTCAGCTGGTCTCTCCCATGCCACGTTAGGGGTGACCGTCCCCTTCCTTTTCCTCTCCGGTGGGGGGGGGTCCCTTGCTCACGGTTCATGAACTGAGGCCAGCTACAGCCGTGTGAGGTCACTGATCCCACACAGGCTCCCTGGGGCAAGTGTAATAGCTCCGGGAGCGCTGGGTGAGGTGGGGTGACCGGGAACCGCACGGAATGGTGCCTCCTGTGAAAGCTGGAGTGCCAGACCCTGACGGGACATTGAGGAACCCACATCCTCTTTGTGATTCGCTTCACCCGAGGTCCTCAGCCCAGCAGCCAAATCCTGTGGAGCCTGCCCTTGACCTCCTGCCCTGGGGGCCTGGAGTGTTCTGAAGATGACACATCAGGGTTGGCTCAGCCTGAAGTCTGCATGCCTGTCGGGAGGGTTGGCAGGTGCCCGTGCCCAGGTGCGGTTTTTTACATTACATGACATACGGATGAGAGGGCTGTGGGTGCATCTGGGGCCTGGCGGGGTGATTCAGGAACCATCACTGCTTCCCAGAAGCATGGCGCTTGGGTGTCAGCTGAGCAAATGTTCTGTGTGTCACTGAGATTATTAGAAAGCAGAGAACCATCCCATGACTTAGTGGAAGCTGGGGGCAGGGGCTCTATAGAAGCTGGAGGGGTATCAGGGCCGGAGGAGGTGGGAGGTGTGGGGAGGGCGGCCAGATCTGGAAACTTCGCTTCCCGTCTGGATAGACGGGAAGCCGCGGGGACTGTTGGCAGGCACGTCTTCCTGGCCACCCTCGGTGATGGGACATGCGGCTGGTTCTCTGCAGCTGAGTGATACCAGCATGAATAATCCTTGCGTTGCTTCTCATAGAAATCAAATCTCTAGGACAAGGAAATGTTGCTGTTTCTCGTTCTAAAGGAATGGAATGTCTCTACACCCCTCCCACCCATGGATAGCATGGTCCCATCTCCACGCGTGGCCTGGCAGTGCCCTGGGAGGTCGGCTTCGAGGTATGTTCTTCTGGATGGGCCATGTCCCCGGCCCAGAGGTGGAGGGTAAGGCAGAGGGAAGCAGGGGCACAGAGAGGGACAGTGGACCTCGAATCAGAGCAGCCTTCTGGAGTCTCCGGAGCCCACGGCAGAGGGAGGGCTTGGTTTGTGGATGCAGGATGCAACGGTGCGTGTGTGTGGGGGGAATGGGGAGCTCTGCGGCCTTCGGTGGGGCTGGGTGCCCTGGGGACGGGGTGTAGGCATGACACGGGCCCAGCGTCCAGCTGGCCTCTGTCCACGCCCCGGGCCCCGTGGGGAGAATGGGGGAGAGTGGGCAGTGGCCGTTAGAGTTCTCACCCCTTCGGGTGTCTCTCACGGGAACCAAGGTTAGGAGGAGGAACGCCAAGGAGGAGCTGGAAAGAACTGAATACTAAACAAAGTCTCTCCTGCAGCTCTGGAATGCTCTGTGCACGCTCTCTACGCCACGCCGTCTAGACAGCCTTGACCTTGAGGTGTGGCGGGCGCTGCGCTCTTCCGATCCACACTTATGCAGACCCATTCCCGACACTCTGTAGCATCGTCAGGCACAGACTCTGAGGACGAGAAAGGAATCTTCGAGCTCTTCAAGGCTGAATATAACAGTCCCCTAAGCACACCAGACTCCTCCCTGGAACCTGTGGTTTGGGTACCTTATACGGCAAAAGGGGTTTTACAGGCGTGATTAAGTTGTCGATTTTCAGGTGGGAAGACTATCCTGGATTATTCGGGGGGGCCCCACATAGAGTCACGAGAGTCCTCCTAGGAGGGAGGCAAGAAGGTCAAAGAAAAAAGGCCACGTGCTGATGGAAGCCTGGGGGAAGAAAGGGCAATGTGCTGGGGGCCGCAGTCAAGGCATTGAGGACAAACTCTAGGACGTGGAAAAGGTAAGAGAAGGATTGTCCCCTGGAGCCTTCAGAAGGACCTCAGCACTGCCAACACCTTGACTGTAGCCCCTTGAGACCATGTCAGACCCCTGACCTCCAGAACTGTAAGAGGATCAGGTGGTATTGTTTTAAGCCACTGTTGGTGGTAATTTGTTACAGCAGCAAAAGGAAACTAATATAGAACTCATTGACCTCAGCCCTCTCTTTTTACAGCTGAGGAGACTGAAGCCCATTTGTGGTAGATATTTTCCTTTTTAGTTCGCTAATTTGTAAGTCGTTTATGAGAAGGGAATGAGTTTTCTCCTGCCTCCGTGAATAAGACCAAGTTTTTTTCTGTAATTGTCCTGTTGACGAGAGCAGGCCTTAGAATTTTCAGTTTTATGGGGTCTGATTGCTGTATTGGTTCTATAGGTTCGATGACCATATTTTCTTGAATCAAAATGAAAGAACTCTGATCTGATAAGTATGAGTGGGCTTATGGGGATAATAGGACAGAGGCTATTCCGTAAAACCAGGGACAAATAGCCTGCGCTGTAATACATGGCGTAGTGGCCAACCCACGCCGTCCTGGCCGCCAGCTCCCGTCTCACCTCCCACACCCTCTGCCTCCACAGCACAAGGAAGGAAAGGGGGTGGAAATCTTGACACAGGGTTTTCAGAGGATGCTGCTGCTGATTTCTGAACCAGAACAGACTTTGAAAAGTCCTCCTGAGTCTAAAAAACGAAGACTCATTGCTTCAACCCTTGCAATAGACATCCTGGGCGACCTTCGCCTCAAACCTCAGAGGATTTCGAGATACTACGGAACATTCTGTGCTTTGTTTATTTCCCATCAGTTGGTGGAGAAATTGAACCAATGCACTGGTGACAGTGGGAACAGGTCAGTGTAGGCCCTGGAGGGGAAGGAGGGTGCAGAAAATGTAGCCCTGGAGATATTGCAGGATCGGTTCCAGGCCACCACAATAATGCGAATATCGCAATAAAGTGAGTCACATGGAGTTTTTGGTTTCCCCATGTATATAAAAGTAATGTTTACACTCTACTGTAACCTATCGAGCATGCAATAGCATTATGTGTAAAAAAGTACATACCTTAGTTAAAAAATACTTTATTGCTAAAAAATGCTAACCATCACCTGAGCCTTCAGTGTGTCCTAACCTTTTTGCAATCATGTCAAAGATCACAGATCATCATCACAAATACAGTAATAATGAAAATGTTTGAAGTATTTGGAGAATTACCAAAATGTGAAACAGACACGAAGTGAGCAAACGCTAATGGAAAAATGATGCCAGTAGGCTTGCAAAGAGCTCGGTTGCCACAAACCTTCAATGTGTAATAAAGGCAGTATCTGCAAATTGCAATAAAGCAAAGCCCAGTAAACCGAGGTCAGCCTGCACTGCTGCAGGCCGGGCGACTCGTTCTTGGGTGGCTGTGAGTCTGAGGCGTTAGTTATTGAAAGGACGATTCAAAGATTCGAACAATTCTTGTGGCTTGAGGATCAAGGTTTCCCACAGAAAAAGCTGAGGTTATGTAAATTCCTCTTCATGGATCACAAGATCAGCAGTTACCCTTCAGCAGGGCCAAAGGCACATGGCACGATTTCACTTCCTTTCTTTGGCTCTATTAATGTGGGCTGTCCTATGCTATTTAGTGACTAGGATCTCAACCAAGGCAGGTCAGCTGGATTAATGTGTTTGGTGGACTACAGAGACCGTGTGGAGAGGACTCAGTTATTGACATGCCCTTCATCCTGGGATGATGATGGTATTTGGTGAGATTTACCTGCTCGGGTGAATTCACACCCTTGAAACTTCCTTGGCTTGACCCCAGATGTATAGCTCACTCTTCAGTCTTACCATGTCAAAATTATGGAACAGAAACAAATATTCCCCCTTCAACTGGTCCTTGGAAAAAGAATAAACACAGATACAAGGTAACATTTACTCTTTGCCCAATAAACTCCTTTTGGGGGTATTTCCAGCTTCCATAAGAACCCCATCATGAAGTTATACACACAGTTAATCCAGTGAACTCACCTGTGGTCCCCCTATGTGCCTGGACCTCAGTTTCATCTCCTTGAAACTGGAGAATGGATTTGACCATCTCTAGGTTTCCATCTTGCTTCAGCATTGTTTTTCTCAGATATTATTTATCCTTCTGAGTTGTGACCCTTGAAAGTTACCTTCCTTGTTAGCAAAAGGATAAAACTAATGCCGGCGAGCCCTTCTGACTGTGAGCCATTTGCTCTGGGTATGAAATTCCTAAGATTTCTCTAAAAGAGTTTCTGTATCTGCCTTTTCACCTGTAAGAGCCTCAGTATCTGAATAAATCAGACAGAAGATGTCATTAAGGTTGGTAACAGGGATTTTTAAGGACATTTGGAAAAGTCCTTCCTTTCCATCCAACAGCAGGGGTCCAGGCTCACCCCCTGGGGCTCCGTCCTCTCTAGCTCCACGGGGAGCTCCCTGAGGGGGAGAGGCACATTCAGTATCACCTTTGGGGCTGCTGGGTGGTTAGGAGACACTGGTTTTGTACAGACATGAATTTTCATCCCTAAACTATTCAGTTAGCCACATCCCACATGCTATAATAAATACTTAGAGAATCACCCCCTTCCTTTGCTAACAACTAAACACCACGTAAGACTGGCAGTGGGGGTCTCCTAACCCTAGAAGGACTTCATGGGGGGGGGGGGGAAACGGCACCTACCTCGCTGGTTAAAGCCCCAGAGTCCTCCTTTTCTCTTTAATGGGGCCTTCGTTGGGCAAAATACACATCACTTTAAAACCACCTCACAGCTGGAAGTATGTAACTTACAGCGAGTCACAAAAAATAGGGAAACTTACACAGGGTTTCTCTGGTCACTTCCCCATCTGAGTGATCACGCAGCTGGCGCTACAGCTGAGACGGCGCTCCCAGTGAGGAGGGGAAAGGTGTGTTCACAGCCACCCGGTTGGAGGAGTGACACAAGCCCGATTGGGAAATCCCTGGACGTATAAATTCCTGCCAGACCGCTGAGCTCCCACTGAAGGTGAAAGGCCTGGCAGCCATCCCAGGAGACAGCACCAGGCGAACGATGCAGAGCTGCAGGTAAGAGGGGACAAGGGCAGGGGGGGCGGTTGACCTGGGAGTCAGGACACCTGGGCTCCATCACTTCTGGAGGGCACCTCAGGAGGCTTTCCTGATGGCTCCAGACCCCCGGCGCCTCCTCCATGTGACTTTCCTCATCTCTGTGACCTTCTTCACCTGTGTGAAGGTGACCTTGACCTTTGGGGGCTTCAGATTCTCTGTCAAAAAAGGGGCTGGATTGGAGGATTTCTAGGGACCTTCTCTGATTGGACGTGACCGGCACAACTGCTGTGGAATCAGTGAGAGGAAAGGAATCGCTGAGAGGGTTTGTGTCCAGCTCAGGGGAGGCTGTGCCTCTGAGGCTTCCACTGAGTTTAGAAGCTTTCCTCTTTGGAAGGATCGTGGGATGCTTTCTAAACACTTCCAATGCCTGAGCTCCCCGTGCTGGCTGGTCACCAACCCTCACAGCCGTCTTGGAGGAGCAGCAGGCAGAGTGTGGCTAAGTGTGAGTCCCAGAGGCTAACGCGTCCGGGTTCCAGTCCAGCTGTGCCTGTTACTGGCTGTGTGATGTCACGCACCTGTTCCTATAGTAACTGTCTTTTAAAAATCCTGTTCTCTAGTGAAAAAGTATCACTGAATAGAGATGGTCCACCAGTAATCAACCACCAGGAAGTGTTAAGCTTATCTTTATCCCTTGCTTCATTCCTGTGAAGTAATGATAAAACTGGGCGCGATTCTTTAAAAAAAGTCATTTTTACCCTCGATTATAATTAAGTAACCCACGCAGTTTATCTTCGCCCTCCCGGCGCTCCGGTCTCCCCATCTGTAAACCGTGATGCTGATGGTGAGACTCACAGATGGAGGGAAGGGCGTATGAATCCGAATCACACGGAGCTTTGGCACAATGCTGGGCTCACGGGGTTGCTACCTAAATGGTCCAGCGGTTAAGACTCTGCGCTTCCAACGCAGGGGGTGTGGGTTCGATCCCTGGTCGGGGAACTAAGATCCCACATGCCGCACGGCACGACCGAGAAAAAAAAAAGCTTGCTCTCTGTATTAGATGCCCTCCCTCTCGACTCCCACTCCCCTTTGGAGGCCGTGCCTCTTCCTGGCGCCCAGCTCCCTCGGGAGCCCCTGGTCCCATTCTTCCCTAATGCCGTGTGATGCTATTCGGGGCTTGTCATCCTTCTGATTTCCTCTCCTGTAAACGGAGGTGGTTGAGTGACTTGACCTTCTGAGTCCCTCCGGCAGCTCGATGTCAGCGGTGGGATGCTGGGGCATCCCTCCCGGCAGCCCATCCTGCACCCCCACCCCGCTCACCCTTCCCTGAGCACCCCCTCCCCAAGAGAGCGGGGGTCCCTCTTCACCAGCTCGAAAAGGGGGGCTCCTCCTACATGCACGGTAGAAGGGGCACTTCCCCTCAAACCTCATTACAGTTTGCCCATATTTTAATTGTATGTTCCACTTTCTAGCCTGTGTGGTTATCGTAACAGGCAAGAAAGGGAGCTTGGTCGGGGTCATGGGACTGTGAGGATGGTCCCCGCACCATTTGTTGCCAGCCGGCCCGGGACGCCGCCCCACCTTTCCACACCTGCCACAGCCCTTCCCCTCAATATCCCCACTCCTACCGCACCCTCAAAGCCCAATTGTTTGACAGTCGACACCTGAGTGATCAGGACGCACAGACCCTAGGGTAGCAGTCTAGTGACAGCACAGCTGGAGCAGCGCGAGTGTGTAGTTTCGGGTGGTCTTTTTATGTCACCATCACCTGCTCTCTCTATGGGGACACTTGATCGTGACTGTCTCCAATCAGTGGTTCTCAGACGTCAGCCTGCGTCAGCATCACCTGAAGGATTTACTAAAATGGATGGCTGAGCCCACTCGGAATTTTGGATTCAGTAGATGTAGGGCAGGAGGGGCTGAGGACTTGCCCTTCGAATGAGTTCCCAGGTGATGCTGAGGCTACCGGTCTGGGAGAAACATTCCCTTAGGAGATGAGAGGAGGTTTCATGTCCAGAAGCAAATCAGCAGGAATAAGTGAGTACCTCAGAGTCTGAAACTAGACCTCAGCTTCCCACCAATTTTGCTCTCTACCCATGAAGGACTGCTGCTTAAAGAAGGAAGGGAGAAGGCAGCAAAAAGATGAAAGGGACGTGGAAGCTTCTGTGACCAGCTGATGAGCCAGACCCGGTGGGGTCACAGGAAAAATAGTGATGGGGGCGATGTTGGTCTTCCAGAATCTTCGAGTCCCTGCTCCGGTGTTCTTAACCTGGTTGAGCATTAAAATCACCTGGAAAGCTTTAAAAACAATCTCCGTACCTGGGACCAATTACGTCAGGAACTTGGGGGTTTGGGGCCCAGGCAGCAGTCGTTTTTAAAGCTTCCCGGGCAATTCTGATGTGCAGCTAGGGCTGGGATCCACTGCTCTATTCTACCTCTTATACTCCTCCCTGTTCCACTTCTATAAACTATTTAGGGACTTCTTTCTCCCTGCAGAGCCTGTGTTCTAAACCTGTCATGTATCTGATGCTTCTCGTAAGATAAATGGGCATTTGATCAGTAGCGTGAGAGTCTGTATGAAACTCCATCTGAACGTTTCTGGAGCGTACGTTAGTTAAGAACCTCTGTTGCATTTTGAGCACAAATAATTCCCTAAACACACGAGGTAAGTTGTGGCACTTGATTGTGGGCCAAAGGAGGCCAGTTTAAAACCTGGATATTATCTTGCTATGTGACTTGGACATAGAAGTTTGTTTCTGGACGTTAGTTTCATTCATCTGATGAAATGGATGGATTAGAGAACAGGGGTTCTTTGCTATTTTAAAGAATTTCTGGGAAGTATTCCACTCAAATTTTATTTATTTATTTATTTATTTATTTTTTATATTTATTTTTGGCTGTGTTGGGTCTTCGTTTCTGTGCGAGGGCTTTCTCTAGTTGCGGCGAGCGGGGGCCGCTCTTCATCGCGGGGCGCGGGCCTCTCACTATCATGGCCTCTCTTGTTTCGGAGCACAGGCTCCAGACGCACAGGCTCAGTAGTTGTGGCTCACGGGCCCAGCCGCTCCGCAGCATGTGGGATCTTCCCGGACCGGGGCACGAACCCGTGTCCCCTGCATTGGCAGGCGGACTCTCAACCACTGTGCCACCAGGGAAGCCCTCAAATTTTTCATGAAATGTCAAGAGGAAATTTAAGAATGCTTGGACTTAACTGGGGATTGCTAACCTGAGTGTATTCAGGGGCCAGGCAGTAAGTCAAATGTGTGAGGCTGTGAGTGACAGGGCCTATGACCCGCTGGAATGAGTTTGTCCCTCGGAAAAGACATTCGGTGAAAAATAACACCACCACCCAAGCTGAAAAAATGCATATCCACAAGTTGAACAGGGCTGTGACCCCCAGTTTGTGATTCCCAGATTAGCTTTGACTCTTTGTGACAATCTGATCACATCACCCCTAAGTTAAAGGGATGAGGGCCGAGTCCTGGCCCCATCACTTCTATTTGTATTTCCTTGGAGGAGTTATTTAACTTCTGTGAGCTCAGTGTCTTTATCTCTAAAACAAAAATAATAATATCTAGTTTGTAAAGTATTGGGAAAATTAAAAGAAATCATACATGTCAAGACTTTGCCCAGTGCCTGGCACATGGTGGATGTTCAATAAGTGTTAGTTATCCTCACCATCCTCACCATCCTCACCATCCTCACCATCATCCCCATCATCATCATCACCATCACCACCACCATCATCACCGTCATCATCATCACCATCACCACCACATCATCACCATCATCACCATCATCATCACCATCACCATCATCACCATCATCACCATCATCATCACCATCATCACCATCACCATCATCATCATCACCATCACCACCACCATCATCACCATCATCATCACCATCATCATCAGATTATGAGGTTCTGACCTCAAAATTTCAGGAACCACCCTGAGAGGGCTGGGGTGATCCGGATACAGGGATTTAATAGCGTCCCCGCTTTTAGTCCCCGTGGGTATCTGCCTACTTTATTTAAGAATGAGCCAGTCCTTACGATCAATGCTTCTCAAATCACCTGGAGGTCTTGTTAAAAAGCAGATGGTTCTGATTCCCTAGTTCTGGGGTGGGGCCTGAGATTTTGCATTTCTCACAAGTGATGTCCATGGTTCTGGTCCAGGGACCACACTTTGAGTAGGAAGGCTTTAGAATATTCGAGATGAGGTTTTCTTACTTGGGAGCAAGGAAGTCAATGTATGGCTTTGGATGTGTCCTGAATTTTCTAGAGCTAGTATTCATCAGCATGTTTTCTTAACTGTCTGTGGTTGGCAGAATTCTAAGGTGCCCCCCACTGAGCATGCCTTGTGCAGCCCCTCCCCTTGAATGAGGGTGGGTAATATAAACAGGATGGGATGGCATTCCCATGATTAGGTTACCTTATACAGCAAAGGCGAGGGAATTTTGCAGATGTATTTTAGGTCCCCGGTCAGTTGATGTGAAGTTAATCAAAAGGAAGACCATCCTGGGTGTTCCCAGCACAACCAGCTGGGCTCTTTAAAAGAGGGTCCAGGGGTCAGAGTCAGGAGGTCAGAGAGATGTGAAGTAGGTGGTCGATTGGCCCTGAGGAAACAAACTGTCCCGTTTTATGGAGGGGGCCCCGGGGCAGGAAACAGTGGTGGCCTCTAGTTGCTGAGAGTGGCCTTGGCTGACAGCCAGCAAGAAAGTGGGCACCTCAGTTGTATAATACCTAAGACATGAATTCTACCATGGCCCCAGGGACGTGGGACAGGACCCCAAGCTTTGATGTCCACCCGTGGGACCCGGAGCAGAGTCCATCCAAGCAGAGGCCGACCTTGGGCCCACAGTGATGGGAGCTAATAACAGGGCTTGGTTTCAAGTCACTGGGTTTGTGGTCCTTTGCTCCAGGGCAACAGAAACGAACACAGTGTCCTTATTCTTCTCTTTGATTGCTGTGCACGTACCCTCCGGGTTCCACTGCAACGATAACCTACAACATCTCAGTA